ATTAGGAAGTCTCTGAATTATTGTATTATTACAGTTTAAAATAATGTTTTTCTATATACTTTAAAATTTTCATCAGCCATTACTACAGTCTTCAGTGTCACATAAACCTTATTTGTAAATATTAAAATAATTTGAGTACTAAAGCTAATCTGGTTTGGTCTTTTTTATTTTATTTTTTTGGTGTGGAAAGAATCGTGAATTTACATAAAAAGATGAGGAGTTGGGGTGGCAGACAAACACTGAAAAAATGGTCAGAACTGGGTCAAACAGCTGTTTATATATGTTTGGGAACAACAACATTTTTTAGACTGACATGCAAATATTTCAGTGTGTGTGCTTCAATAATCTATTTAATCACAAAACACTTATTTAAAAAGTGAAATACTGTACATGTATAGGCTATTTTTCCTATAGAATTATGTTTTACATACACATATTATCACAGAACATGCTAACCTGTTACTTATTTATATTCAACGTTTAATTCTCATCATGCAGTGTATTATTACTACAATTACTACTGAACAATTTCCTCTGAAAATCACAAAAATGGTCATTTCATTTTTTGTAGTAAATAATCACAATTAGTGCCAGAACAAAAGTAACAGCAACAGCAACAACAATAACAACAATAGTATTTACGGATAAATCACAAAGCCCGCAGAAAGAAATGGCTCTCCTCTGAACCGGATGAGGCACTGATCTTTCAGGGATTAAGAGATCATTTTCTGCATCTCTAGGTGGATGTAGATTTTCATGATCTTCTGCAAAAATACAAAAGACAATTTATACACACTGTCACACTGTAAAAGTGAAAATGTCACTGAATAATGAAGAATGTAAAGCTTGGAATACTTACTTTTCAAGCAATAATATAAAGTCTGCTTCTGGAAGGGAAATTAATACATCAATATATCTGTATTTATATACAGTGGGTACGGAAAGTTGTTACAGCAGACAGAAGAGAAAAAGGTGAATTCACCTTCACTCCCTCATTCACTGTATATAAAAACCCAGCAAGTGTTTTTTCTAATTTGATGCCAAGGTCATATAAAGGTATAGTGTTATAATTCCACATTTAAAAATGAAAAACTTTGCTTTTTGTTATGTGGAAACACATACTCACGGTTTGTGTAAAGGGCTTGGTGATCAGCCTACCTCTGATTTTAAGTCCTTCGCAATTTTACTAATTGCATTCAAATTCTTCTGACATGAGAGTAACCCAGTGTCATCGAACAGACAGTCCACTGCAGATATGTCCTCGCTCGTTATAACCCTGTTGCTGTCTAGTATAGGTTTCTCTGGGTCAAGCGTGTGATGGAACACCACCATGATGACTGGCAATGATGACAGATGATAAATAACTGGATCATAAAAAAAATAATTTGGTTAATAAGTTTAATTAAATATGTTTTATCATTAATCTAGCTTTCCACACTTGTAAGTTACCTTTCACTTCATTGAGGTACTTCACTGCAGCTTCAATGTCAGTTCCAGCACGAGAAATAATGGGGCAGAAAAACAGTAAGAAATGACAATGCCGAGGGGAAGATGCCTCCTTCAAGCCAAATTTTTTAAGAGTTTTCTTGAAGTCATGTACAGCACAATCCATTGTCTGTCCTGAATCCAAAATTAGGAGGGGGGGACATAAATGGTTGAAGAATGGTTAAAATGGATACTACATATTAAGGACACAAACTTAAAAAGTTGTTTTATTAGACGAATTCTTCAAATAGTGCCTTACAAAACAGAAACTATGTTTTTTTTAAACATCTGTTTAAGCTGCACAGTAGCCTATACTGTAAAGGGCTGTATCTAAAGGCAGGAAATCTTCAAATCCTACAGCATGCTTAGTCACATCATGTCTATGCCTTGCCTTCATCTGATCCAGTTCGGAAGGCATGTTTTTTAACTACACTGATGTGTTTTTATTTTTTTAATAGCTTTTAATCAGTATCTACCTTTGTTATGTTTCACCCGTTTCAGTTGAAAAGGCAACACAAGAGGCCTACGCTTGCGCTCGAAAAGGATCCTTCAGCTGTTTCTTTGAAATGGGCCTCCGTATTGCAAAGGCTGCCTCTGCTTTTAGATAGACGCAGACAAAAGCGAACACATTTTTTTTACTTGCAAGTTTAGAGAATGAATTTTCTGTAATGATTGCAGCGTATAGTTGCAACAAAACATCAGGCCCAGAGTCGGAGCCAGGGCACCTACATCGCTTTCACTTTTGCTTTCGAAATTCATCACGTTCTGTAGGAGGGGAAGGGCTCTTCCCCGGCGCCGGCCCTGATCACGCCTCTTCCTGGTCCCCGTTATGGCGGCGCAGCGCAGACCGATCCTTGTACAGACAGCAGACGCTCTTTATTCATGGGTTTCACGTGACGTCACACAGTGGTGCGGCCGCCATTTGTAGGACCGAATTGCAATTCCGTCAGTCTGCTGTGCTGTGCTCTGTGCTAATCACAATGGATTATTTACTGGATTATTGGATGTATGGGATTCTTTTGATTAAATATTTCTCGTACGCATAGATGCGTGTTTACATTTTAGTTAGCAAGTTCATAATGAAACTTGCAAAAGGTTAAATTCACGTGCGCTAAAATGAAAGTAAACGTTTTGTTTAGGTAACGTTATTAATTTTAATGAACAGTACAGTAGATATAGAAATGCAACTGCCAAGTCTGGCATCGTGCTGCACAACGGGCCGCGTCCGGCTTGAATGCCGCAGTGTCGGCAAGTTACGGCTGTCGCATCTGGTCCGGTTGATTCGGCCCAGAATCTGAAAGTGAGTACGCAAGCATCCAGCCGGGTGCTGCAGCTGGATCCGGGCCGATGGACAAGTCTCTAACAAGTGAAAATTTAACTGAAAATGGCCCGAGTGTATGGAGAGGGATTGTGTACGAGGTAGATGTAAATAGCCAGCAAACGTCAAATTGGTAAGTTTTCCCTTGACTTTAGTGGAGTCAGCAGTTCGCTTGACAGTAAATAAGGATCTAATCCTAAAGTGTCTATTTTTTTTTAATACCATTGTTTTCCGTTGTTGTTTAAGTGTTATTTTGGTTTCTGATCACCAAGGAGAGGCTACGCAAGGTCCTAAAGATGGCGGCCGCAACTAAAAAGTCACGTGACTGAAACCCATGAATACTTTCGAATCCTCTCGCAGTACTTTGATGTCATACACCGATCGGTCTGCGCAGCGCTGCTTCAAGTCGAACACACCTATGTATTTGCTTTGTCATCTTGCTTAAGCGCCGCGTAGTGGTTTCACTCTGTTTATCTTAATATTACCAAATATTTAGGTGAAGTAAGCGGAGCAATGGGGTGTGATCACACCGGTCTTAATTCTAGGCTCTGTGATAATGCACTTAAAATCCCATAAAAACATGCACAAATTATTTTTATTTTTAGTATTTGAGGTATATTTAATTTAGTCTAAAACGCTGTTGATAGACTATTTACGCACATTTGTAGCCTATTTTACAGATTCAACGTAGGTAACACCCCTAATTTGTTATTTCATTCTGGGCTGTGATAATGCACTTAAAATCTCATAAACACATGCACAAATTATAAGGTAACGCAGGTAACGTTAACAGACATTTTTGTAGGCTAAATAATGGAAATGAATGGAGGACACACATAATACGTATAGGCTACTCACCGTAAGTTTTTCTTCAGGGGCTTAAAGTGCTGCGAGAGGTTTGGGAGTTAAATCAAGAGTCACTGTGCAACACTTTCATTTTCATCTGCTACAAGCTCAGCCTTCTTTCACTGTCGTCTCACGCTATGCGCTAACCTCTAAAACTATGACAACACATTACGTATAGCCTACGTGTTTTATAACATCTTGCGCTAGATAATAAACAGTAGCCTACAGAAAGAAAAACTTTAATATTTGAATGATTTATTTAATTAGTTGATAGCCTATAGTACAGTTATAAGTTAAGGTACGTGATAGTGGATTCTCATAACGATATTATTGTACTACTCAAATTCTCTTTCATAGGGTACATTCAAGCACAAAAACAAATATATTTGATAGTATTGTATTTAATAATAGTATCTTTAATAGAACAAAGTACAAAAACCTGTGAGCTATAATCATCTGCTTAACCCAAGTTTACTCTTCTAAGGTTTTATTAATGCATAGTCATTCCAACTGGTGTTTACACTTTAACTCATCCCACTTTTAAAATCTCATAAACACATTCACAAATAATAATGTAAAGTTTATACGAATCTTCCAGTGGGAGGGATATTTGGAAATCATCAAAATACACGAAGGACATAAATTTGTTTCTTGCTGAGTTTATCATCAAAAGGCTAAGATTGTTGCATTGAAGGTCCATTGAGGCCCCCTAGTGGGCCTCGATGAGAATAGGTCAAGAACCACTGTTTCTAAATCCCTAAAATCCTGCAGTACCGGTTTCAGGACTGCATTTCTAGGACCCTATTTTTTCGTGACAGCGCCACCTAGCAGCCAATTCTACTACTAATTCAGACCTATTTCGGCCTCGATAATGCGGAGGATCATACTACTTGGAGAGCTAATACTGTTTTAGCCAGACGATCATTGCACAGCAGCTCGCTAGAGGTCAGTAGTGCACAAGCAGATTGAGAACCACCACAAAACAAGAAGAACAAAAACTCATTTTAAACTTCCGGGCATGGCGGAGAAGAAAACACCCGGTAACCGTGCGTTCCAAGTAAACTTCTGTAGCCTTTGACTTATAACAGCGCATGGCATAAATGACTAAATGAATTAATTAATTGCTATACGTTACTTGTCAATCTGTTTTTCCATCCCTACGTTTCTTATAATTTGCGGCCAAACATGTCAACAGTGTTGTTATGCATTGCTATCGTCTGATCATGTAAATCCAGCTGTAGTTCACATTCAGATCTTTTGTCCTCCTCAGTCCGCTCGCAGGATCCCAACCAGCGGCGCGTGCTGGACAGCGCGACGCGCCAGCGCCGTTTAACCCGCCAGCTCGAGGCGCTCGAGAAAGACAATTTCCTGGACGACCCTCACGCGAGCCTCCCGCAGCTTGTCAAGCGGCTGCCGCAGTTCGACGAGAGCAACGAATCCGGTAACGAATCGAGTCGGTGTTATGCATCAGTCCCCATCCTTTAGCTCGCATTAAATCCTTCTTTACGAACTGTATCCGACGTTGACAGTTGTGTTTGTCTTTATTGTTCTCGCCTGATGGATTCTGATTTCAAGGCAAGCGGAGGAAGAAGACAAGGGGCGATCATTTTAAACAGAGGTTCCGCAAAAACTTCCAGACTCTTCTGGAGGAGGAGGTAACGCATCTGTCGCTCACTAGTACTGCGTGCTGAGAAACATCCAGAGAGAAACTCACACTTTTCTTGGGTGAATGTCATGAAACGTTAAAAACAGTCTTCAATAGTAAAATGTATGTACACGATGTAAAATTATTAGTTCTAAAACGAGGCTTAAACAAAATATAGTTTCTTCTCTTTTTGGAGTCCTGGATATATGTTTTGTACCTCTTTCTCTCTTTTTGTTCTTTCAGGACTTGAGTGTCAGTGAGGGTCCGAACTATCTGACTGCATGTGCTGAGCCCTCTAAGTTTCCTCTGCGACATTTCTGTGCATTGTGCGGCCTCCCATCAAACTACACTTGTGTGTCATGTGGAGCTCGCTACTGCTGTGTCCGATGTTTAGGAACACACCATGAGACCAGGTAATGCACTCGCTCACCCGTGTGGGTGGAAGGCAACACAATTCCTCAAAAGTGAGACCAGATAATAGCAACACAAACAATTGTGTTTCCACACACAATGACACCACAAGAAATGGTGACGTTAATCGAACAATTCACCCAAAAATGAAATTTCTGTCATTGTTTACCTCATGTTGTTTCCAAACCTGTATGACTTTGTTTTTCTGCGGAAAAGAAGATATTTTGAAGAATGTTTTCCAAGAAGAAAGTTAAACAGGTTTAGGGTATGTAAATGACGACAGAATTTTCATTATCCATTTAAGATCAAAATGAAACATCATTAAAATAGATTAAATACTATGGTAAATGAATAGGACTAGGGAAAATGAAATAAGTGTGAATTGCGCTCCTTGTCTTTTCAGGTGTCTAAAGTGGACAGTATGATTTGTTCCTCAACTGAACTCCTATCAAAAGTAAAACAAGCTTATGGCTCAAAATGCACACTTACGAGCTTATGTTCCTCAGAAGCATTCACAGTCATTTGCCTGCACAATAAACATGTTGAGGTGTAAATCACTAGAAGCCTTAGACCTGACTGCTAAAATAATAACCCGTCATCTCTGCACTTCTTTGTACAACAAATGGGCTGCACTTCATTTGCGATTTCACATAATTGGATGAAACATAAAGCATTTGCAAAAAATGAGGAGCTGTTGAAGTATTGTAATTAGAGTTAATTCTGTGCCAAGCTTTGGCTCGTTCTTATTAAAATATAGAGAATGCCAGTGAAAAACTGCTATTTAAGTATTTTGGAGTAAATGACCACAATTGGCAGAAAGGAAAGACTTGCATCTTATGGTTACAAAAGTTAAAACATGTTCTTTAAAAAGCATAATGCCTATTCACGGATTTCTTTATCATAATTAAAGGAACCTGCAGCAGTTACAATGGTTTTTGTATATGAAGTTTTGTAATTTAACACAAAGTATTGCTTTTGTATGTAAATATGTGTACATGTTTATCTTATTGCTATAAAATTGTGTTGTATGAAACAAATAAATGACTAGAAGTGGTAAAAATGTGCTTGCTTTATGATCTGTTTTGCAAGAAGAGAGGTATTTTTAAGACTTTGCACTTGAAAATGCCACTGATGGATTTAAGGTAAAAGCATCAAAATACATGTATAAACCATCCATATTTCTGATATTAAAATAATTATGAGCTGGAAATATTTTCACACTTAAAAATACCCTTTCCCCTCAATACTCTTCACACATCTTTTCATTATGAGCACTAACATGTTTTAAATGTCCAGCGTTTCATCACTGTGATAAAGGTGGTAAATTCTTTCTTTTTGGATGACAATTTTTTTTTTTGTGTGTGTGTGTGTGTGTTAATTTACAGCACATAATATACAGCTCCATATGAGCATAATTCTGATTTAGACCCCAAATTACATTCATTCGATTCACTTTGTGCTTTGAGCATCATTTGGGAGAAGCAAAAAGCTAAAAAATTCACATGAAAACAATACTGAAATAAGCATGTTCTCCTCTTGTATCTGTCCCACGTTATAATTCTGGCAGCTGTTTCAATAACTTTGTGCTCTCCAACATTTCTATATGAAGCGCAGCTCGTGTGTTTCGGCCAGTCCGCAGCTGGTTTTATGTTTGTGGAAAAGTTCAGACAGAGCCTTCATGTATAAACTGTGGTAATGATCCACCTGTTCCTGAGATGGACTGTCAACCTTAGGCACAGTAATGGGACAGCCCACTGAAAGAGACAAAGGTACACTGCATTCATACATACCAAAATGTGCTACTTGTACTATCTGAATAACGGCTCAGCAGTTCTATACATTAACTTTACAAAAACAATAATTAAGCAAATATTATGATGTGAAATGCAAGTGTTTTGAACTGACCTACAGTGGTGACAGGACGTCTGAATGGCAGAAGCAGCCAGCGCCCCCCAGTGAAGAGACATGGAGCAAAACCCACAATCTGCTTAAAAAGAGCCTGCAGCCGTCGACCCACGCTGCCCTCAGATAGAACCACCTGTTGGAATAGCTCGTTCTCACCAAAGGAGTACACGGGAACCAGGTCAGCCCTGAGTAAACAGCAACAAGACACGAGAGATGTAGTCCTGTAAAAATGTGAAAAGTATTTCATAAGTTGGCAGTTGCTGCTTATGTTTGTATGTTATTACATGGTAAAGTTGCTATTGCTGCATTTTTCAGGGTTCCCACACCTTTTTTTAATCAATTTACTTCCATTATTTCTCCATTACTTTTTTGTTCACGTTCTACCTCCTTTCCTTCTAGTTAAAATTATTTCCATCCTCTATTTTGAGCAGGGTTTCTCAGGAATCACATCAAGAAAGGCCAGAAGAACCATGTAAATTCACTGGTAACAGAGAGTGTAAACCCTGAAGCATCATCAGTTTTTATAACTTCTGGAATTAAGTAATTTGATTATTTTAATTATTTTATTTTAATATACAGCCACTCCTAGTTTCTGTCAATAAAAAAAAGTTTGCAAGTGAACAGCTTTGTTATTACAGCAGAAGCATCAGAAACATCTTGGTGACCTCTGAATAATGTCTTTGATAATGGGGAGCCTTAAAGTAAAAAATGTTAGGACCTTTTGGAGTCAAAATGGGAGAATCACTGATTTACAGCACTCAGGAGAGAGGTGATTTGCAGGTTTAAACCAGTGGTTCTTAACCTTATTGGCTCGAAGGTCCCCACTGTCCATTTGTCCCTTACAATTTTCAAAGCCCCCCTCCCCCATGTAAAGTAAGATATTTCCTCCAGTATTTCTGCTATAACAACGGTACTTGTATTTATTTAATCTTATTTTTTTTAGCATTTTGAGTTGTTTTAATTTATTAATAATAATAATAAGAAGAATATGAATTTGTATATTCATTGTATTAATAGTAATATACTGATTTGAATCATTTTTGTCATCCAGTGTCCCCCATGGAAGGCCCCATAGTGGGTCCCGATCACTGGTTGAGAACCACTGGTTTAAACTAGAGGTTTATTTCAGTCAATCTTCTTCTCTTGTTCGTGTCTCTTCCTCACCCATGTTCAAGGGCCAGTCGTACAAAACCCTTCCTGTGTTTCATGACTACAGTGTTTACTCCTGGAGACGAGGTAAGTGATTCCTCTGCCCCACCAATGATGATGACCACAGCGTTTCCCACTCCAGTACGGCTCAGCAAGTAATCTAAACTCTCCTTACTGACAGGCAACAGACCTGAGAATGAGAAACAGATGGAGAAATAAGTGGCCATCCTTTTCAAAATGTTCTCAACATCTTCTCTCATTAAGTCTCACTTTAGCTTTTGTTTTACTGACCTGCAGATAAAATATACTCTCTGAAGAGAGGAAGGCGGAAAAGTCCAGCCAGGATTGCAAGCACAGGGTGTATACCAGGAAAGGTTTCTGCAAATCCATTACGGTCTGTGCTGAAACACGAGAAGGCTCCCACACACATGATGCCATGGGGGTGACAACCCATAATATAGTTCTTACTGGGATTCAATTCAGCAGTCTTTACCAGCTGAAGGAATAGAAAGTCAAAGAAGGATAGAGAGGAAAAAATGGGTGGTATACACAAAAGAGCTGAAGTTGAAGAACAACTGTTAGTCCGTAACAAATTTGTTACGTTGGTTACTGGGAATAATGTTTACCTTCACAGGAAAATAGTCTCTGTAGTGTTTCCATACTTCCCAGTTTCGCACAAATTGTGTTCGTCTGCCACCTAGTGGACAGAGAAAATAACATTTTGACAATATTTTTAATTCTATCAGACAGTGAAAGCTGTTTTAAAGAATTAAATGGAATTATAATTTCTTAGGTCGACCTATGAATTTAGATGGATATGTCACCTAAAAATGACAACTCTGATAATTTTCTCACCCTCATGTCTTTCCAAACCTGTATGACTTAAGTTTTTGTCTATGGAGCAGAAAATATATTTGGAAGAATGTTGGTAACTAAGCAGTTTTGGTGACCATTGACCAAAAAAACAACACAGACATTTCTCAGAATGAATGACATGAGTAAATGACGATGACAGCATTTTCACTTTTAGGTGTACTATCCATTTAACCATCCACATGTGTTTATGTGTGTAACACATTTTGTGACTGTTAAGAAAAGAAATGTGTGTTCTAGTGATGGGTTGACCTCTTTCAGGTGTATGCCAATCATAGATCTGCCAGGAGAAGTAGAGTGTGGGAATGAGCCACAGAGAGGTGAACATCAAATAGATCATCAACAGCAGACAGGTCGCTCCTGCATACACACACACACATACAGAATTAGTGATAATATTACAGTGTCAATCTGACACACAAGGGGAAGCATCATGGAAATTTCTATTTGGCACCTAAAAGTAACTTTTTTTCTGTGTGTGCAACAGGTCTCACCTAAAAACAGAAATGAAAGCACCCATTGTAAAACACTTATATCCTCGATTAACTCCTTCCACTGTGACTTGTCCCCCTTCCCCTTTAACTCTGAAACTGAGAAAGAGAGGACAAAACAGAGAAGGCAAAACAGATTAAGGTTGGTCACACATTCTTCTCAGTGTTTTACTGCTGATCACACGTCACCCCAGATGAACTGTTGTTATTTGAGCAGGCCGTCTAATTCACTAAAATTACCGTGTTAAAAAAGACTGTCAAATGTCACATTTTAATTCAGTTGGGGTTAGAAAAATATTTGCCAATGACCTGAACCTGTGAAGGCAGCGGAGACATCAGTTGTCAGATTCTCTCACTGTGAATCGGTGTCATACAAGGTTAAATATCTTTAATGGGCAATCCGGCCCAGTATTTCCGATCAGAAATTAACTAGGGCTCAGCACAAAAGGGCCACAAAAACTCACTAAAATGCCCCATATATCTAAAATTTAGGGGCACAAAAATGGCCTGTAGTGAATATCTGTTTATCATCCGTTTCAGTGTGTTTTATTATATTCTATTACAGACCCTTTTGTAGTTATGGGTTTAGTGTCTCTGCAGATGCTAGTAACCTAGCTGTCTGATATCTGTAATTTCTGTCTCAGTTTCAAAAGTGAGTGATTTAGCTAATATAATAGATTTTCTTTAATGAACACTGAACTTCTATACTGGACATGAGTATATAGACAGTACTGAGCTGTATAATCTAATATAGGAACCATCTAGTTAATTCAAATGGATCCTAGCAACTCCTTTATGATGTTATATCTTGATAATTATTTACAGCTGTTTGATTTGATTTTATAACAGCCATAATTGTTCAGATTTTTTCTCTGTGTTTTTTTGTATAAATTTGAGGCCTTTTTTTTTTTTTTTATAACAGCCATAGTTGTTCAGATTTTTCTCTAATGTTGTGTTTTCTGTATAAATTTGAGGGGAAAAAATCCCTTATATTGCCACTTAATAGTTCATTTCTGGGAGCAGTAGGTGTAAGTGCAACTTGAAGTTCAGCAGTGAACCTGGACCTACTTTTGTGACCTGTTGCACCTGGGGTGTGTGCACAAACTTGTTGGAGCAGCAGACCCCATCATTTAGTTTGCTGACAACTGAGGTAAAGCTTCTAAACATTTTAAAAGGGTTGTTTTATTTGCAAAAACAAAGTGTTTGTGTATCAATATGGCGCCATATTGTTCCTCAATTAGCAAATCACCTTAGATTCAATATGCAGACTGAGTATACATAAACAGTATTAGTATGGGATAGGAATGCTATTTCAGAAATTGGTTAGCAGTAGGTTTCCTTACCATACACAGTGGGAAAAAATAGATTTAAAGAAGAATTTAATTTTACAGTAAATTATCATAAATGTATATGCAACCAGATAATATATGATTATATTATTACTTATAATTACTGTGAAAAACAGTAAAAATAGGGTTTAATTCATTTTAATTTAGCATGCAGCTTTCTATTTTACAACCTATGTCTTTATGGTGCTTATCAGCATCACAAACCTGATTGTAGAACTTAAGAGATAGCCATTTTATATCATTGATGTATAGAGTTATCCCAGAATGCCTCTCATTAATCATTAAATATCCGTATTTAAAACGTGACATTCGAAACCAAATTGTTTCAGGTAAAGATAGGCTAAGCAAGTATCATTTTAATATGTACAATCTGACATCTTGACCCCACTTAATGCAGTGATATTGAGTAATGTGACCTTCCAGCAATTCAAATCCACAGTTGCATTTATTTTTTAAATTGTGAAATATATGTGTACCAAGTCAGCATATACTTGCAACGTTTAGTGTTACGACAGACCAATGCAATAATGATATTTAAACATTTAGGCCTAACGTTTAACCAGATTTAAGGTGTTAGTTACAGACTTTAAAACTTTTAAAGCAAAATTTGAAACCATTTTCAGATGTGTTGTTATAACATTCTCCAGTCAAATCCTGTAACGTTACCGTACGCTACTGAGATTCGTAAGAGCCTACCGTTATCTGTTCCCATTAAGTGGCCAAATTATTTAGTGATCCCTGTAGCAAACGATTCCTCTTCCTCACCTTCCCTGATAGAAGCCTCTCTTGTTTCTCTTGTTTGCACTTTGATCGGTTCAACTGGTCAAATAGATAACGATTCGCTCTCTAATCGCGTCATTGTAAATGTATTGGGCACTTTCTGGACTGGCTATCTGGCGTTTATCTCCAACCACTTACGAATCCGCGTCCGCATGACTGAAAGTCGTTTAAGTCACCCTTTGCTTTAACATGAATCGTTCGTAAACAACAAAGAACGTATTTCGAGTCTTTGTTGTCACGCCTAGGCAACAAAAACGCCACAAACGCCTACTCTTATGTCAGAATAAGACATGAGAGATCGTTTAAATATCCCTGCTACACGGAACGGCCAGAGGCGCGGTTTGGTTGAATGAACCAATAGTATCCAGCTGCAGACCCGCAGCACCAGCAGTTTCAGAACCACAGCCACAGAACCGGAAGTGGGGCGGAGTTATTAGTCTGTGAGTAGTCTGTAATGTTTTTGCTATCATATGTTTAATAATTATCCCAGAAGCTTCAAACATTGTTTTTAATATCACAAACAGGAAATTACTCGCATAATACGATGAAACGAATAACTGTATAGGTCTACAACTAATAACTGTATAGGTCTACAACTAAATTACACAAGATGTATATAATGTTTATAAAATGCTTAATATGTCATTATAAAATGCATACATAAAGTTTGACGTATCGTGTGTAATAAAAGCAAATTACCCCTTAAAAACCATAAGGTGGCGCTACTTTTTAAAAAAATGTAAGCTCCGCCCCTCACTTCCCGCCCCTCACTTCCGGTTCTGTGGCTGCGGTTCTGAAACTGCTGGTGCTGCGGGTCTGCAGCTGGATATATCTCCAATGAACGCTCTTCTCCCAGTAGCCCTCCTCGCGCGCGTGCGGACATCTGTAGGAGGGAGGAGCGACCGATGCGTTTAAAAATGGTTGCCTAGCGCTGGCCACTCGTTGCTTCTTGAAGTACTCACAGGAAATATTGCGTTATCTCTATTTTGTAACGAGTCAAACCTGTTTTTCTAGTCAAAGGATGAACCTTAGAGATTGATATACAATTTTTGTTGTTGTTGTTGTTGTAAATAAGTCTAATCAACATCATTCTTTTATAGTTGTATAGCCAAGAAACTAGCATCGAGATTAAATGTATTTCTCCAGAAATTTTAGACCTCAATTGGTTTCCCCATCATTCATGTCACAATTATGAATCAACATACAAAACTGCCAAATGATCCTTATATTGCAATTATTATGATCACAACATATAATGATTTCTTTAATGTGTTCAGTCTCTATATTCATATATGAATACATAACTAACTGCAGGATTTGTATTATCTCAGAACATTACTTTGACAGTCACTTCTGATAACAGATCACTCTTAATGCATTTTCTGTAAAGCTGCTTTAAAACGATATTTGTGAAAAGCACTATACAAATTAAATGAAAACATGAATCAATAGAATACAATGGACTCAAAGTTAAGAAGCTAAAGTTCAGCTAATATTTCATAATTTGTTATCTTATTTTATAAATGTAGAAGTTTGTTTATACTATAGTGCATGTTTTATCTCTTTGATTTTACTTAACCCCTCTGGTTGGTGTCCATAAAAGTTTGGCAACGTATATTTAGCCCTAGATTAAGAATATAGATTATTGGATAATTAGCCTTAATTTTAAGCTTTCCATTAAACTCATGTCTTGATAATGATTCATTCAGTTTTGTGCATATCAGTTCAACTGATTGGCAAAAAGAACTGGATCTGGTTCACCAATTAGTCAATGCTACAAGAGTTGCCTTTTAATAATGAAAATTGTACATAAGTTCTTATAAGAATTGAGCAGCCATTTGAGGAATAACCCATTTCATATATCCCCTATACAGAAATATCTCAAACCAAGTGCATAATTTGTATACATTCATGTGTACAAGTCTATTGCATTGTCTTGTGTCTGTCCTATTATCTTTGTATACATATTCATGTAATCACAAACACAAAAGGTATCACTAATTATTTATTGACTATACTGTATATACATTTTCATGATTTACGCTTGATTCTGGACCTGTGATTTCACAACTCAACATCTCTTTAGTCAATGAGCTGCAGGGCCTCACCAAGTCAGGACCAACCAAATTTCTATGCAATGTTTTAACTCAGTCATAGATTACATGAAACAGTCTGGATTAACTACCAAATGCCTATGACACCAATATATAGTGTTCACATAGATTTACCCATTACTCAGCTGATGTTGAGAGGAGGCAACACATTCTGTTTTAAGTGTACCAAGTTTTTTTTTTTTGTGTGCAAAGGCAAAGAGTGATTCATTACTGATCAATGGTTATATGCTTCCCGATTATTTCTGTGCAATCTCATGCCGTATGCAAGCTACTCCAATTAAATGTGTGATGACACGATGACTCTCCGCCATCCTGAAGTGTGAGTACTGTTATTTTTATCCTTTGTTTTCCATGTCTTCAAGTATCACTTCTCACATTTCTCCCTCATCACTTGTCTCTTGCTCAAATCACAAAATTTGCTCACTCCTGCAGCACATGCAGGAGATCATGTACATCTAATAATAAAGTGATGGAAGTATGGGGATGTAGTGAGAGCAAGAAGGGAGAATACATAGGTTTAGGGGAAAGTAGGTCCGTCGTTAATAATGAGTTGTTCTTGCTGTTGATAGTTGGTCTGTGATGGGTAGGTGATTATGTGGATGAGTTCTGTAATGTAGACTACCTGTTCAGGTGAATTAGGTGATTGTCACGACTGAGAGGTGGTTAGCTATGCCTAGAGGTTCAATTCAAATAGGCTAAACACAAATGTGTAAGTGAAAAGAGAGATTAGCATGATAAAAATAATGTGATATGGAGTATTCAATGCCTCAGTGTTGGAGGAGTATTGGGGTTCGTTGGCGCGCTTGACTCGCGCTGACAGACATGCTTACGTCTGCACACAGCGAACGCGGACAAAAATCGTAAATACGTGCGTCGAATCAGCTGTCAGAAAGGTGGAGGCAAGGGCAGGCATGAGAATGTAAACGCAACAACGGCATAACAACAGTCGGTGGAATTTATATTTAGTATTGCGAGGGCAGAAAATGTCTCCTTTCACAAAAACAGCAGCACGATACAACGTCATTTTAGGAGAGCGAGGCGCGCATCAGAACGGAATCAGTAGCTCAGCATCTGCTTCTCCGGTGACCGACGAGCTCTAAAGCGAGAATATTAATATTAATATCAGCGCGAAGTGCGCCGCCACCGCTGACATATCTGTTTATCTGCGGGCTCTGCATTCATTACCGTGAAGTCATCTAGCGGTTAGTGTGCAGGCACTAACAGACTGCATTTGTGAATGGTTCTATGGGCCTGCTTTGAACGGATGTTTTTTTTTCTTCGCTAACGTCGCAGTGAACTGCACCATGGATAGCGAGGTGCTTTCTCATCATCGTGCTCCGCGCGGAGGGTGAATGGGGATGAGGATGTTGTTTACAAAAAGCAGCCAGCCGTCAGCGCACTGATGCTCGGTCTCCTCGCACATCATTTTTCATCTAATCTTTTATGACACGGTTGGAACTTACTGTCACCTCCGTCTTTCCTCTTTGAAGAGGGCAATGTCATCGTCAGCAGACCGGCGTGGATTTGTTGTGGTCTGATTTTACTACTTGTCCGCTGCAATTCGACTTCTCACCGTTTATGTAAGTCAGTCTCTTCTGCACCATTTGTTTTCTGTACACTAAAGGCGGATATTTTTAAATCATACAAATTGTGGCGAAATTCGAACTCAATTGGTATTGACTTGTGTGTGGAAATATAATTACAAACATCTGGTAACGGCAAGCAATATGATCGCCCACAGAGGAATTGACTAGCGCCTATTGCCGTGTCAATATATGAATATTGCTTTCATTGACAACCCAATACATTTGTTGTGCTTTTTAAGACCAAGGCATGCCCTGAAAACAGTGTCTTGTAAAACCAGCTGTTAATTTTGTTTTCGCTTTCGCGACTGTTCGTAATTTTTAAAACGAAAAAAATGACGTGCTTTCCCCGTCGATCTATTCTCCACAAAACCAGACAGAGTCCCTAAACACTGTGAAAGAGTAACTGTGTAAATGCAGTGGGTTTGTGATCACCTGAGCGTATACGAGTGACGCGTATCGAGGAGCGCCTTCAGGGTGTAGTGCACGCGAGAGTTTTAGAGTTCGCTACGGGTGATTTATGAGATATGAAGTATGTGAAGGATGTAGACTTTATCTTTAATATTTTACATTTTCGCTAATAGCCATTCATAGACTTCGGTTATTATTTGTGTAACCTGGGTAACCTGGTCTGTGATAACGGCGAGTGTCTCCAGAAATATTCGTCTCACGTAACGTCTGCATGAATCGCGCGTGGAGGTGGCATCAGAATGCCAATGGCACGTGCGACAAGCTACAACTGCAGCCAAATTTATTACAGTCGTGATGTGATAGTAGATGGAGGCGTGGCTGCGTGCGCGTGTATGTCTGTGGCGTGAACCTGTACGTCACCGGATCGGTCTTGTGTATCTCTGGTAATGATAAATAGCACTAAATTAGACTGTCCATCGGAGACATTATTCGCGGATTAAAAGCAAGAGAGGCGGGGTGAGCGCGGGGAAAGCCAGTTAAGCGAGGAGGCGTAGACTGGAGTATACACTGCAGACATGAGGAGACCAGCCCCACCTTGTCTGGGGGCTGTGGATACCTTCACACACACAAGGCTTTTTAGTAAAAGTCTAAAACAAAACTGGCCGAATTTTTGTTAGTCAGGACAGGAGGTATTAAGTAATGAGCCATTTTGGTATTCTGATAAATTTTTTCTTGGTTTTACCATACAGGATTAAACATACTTTGCAAATACAGAAAGTAGATGCATTTAGGAATCTTTAAGGTTACTTACAACAGAACAGCAATGCATTTTATGGACGACCGTTTCATGAACCTAGGAGAGGAGGTCATTCTGACTTTGCTATGACAATCTGGCACTTCTGAATCAGCGACTGTAAGTATG